CTTCCTCTTCCCTCTTCTTCCCTCCTTTCGCTGCTCCCATGCCTGTCTTGGAATTGCGTATTATCTGTAGGTGTGGTGAAGGCCACAGACAGCTCCACACCATCACATTCAGAGTTCCCTTCAGTTTTTAGGGACCTCTTTTCAGGTCCAACTAGTTTGTGGTTTTGATGTAGAAAGAATGAGGACTAGCCACTACAAAGTAGAGCTGGAGATGTGTTAAGAAGATGCTCGAGAGAATGAAACACGGCTTCCCTGAAGGAGTCAGGATCCCTAGCTGTGTGTACCATTTGGTGGCTCTCAAGTTTACATCTCAAAAGATTACTAAGAAACCCTCCTTCCCTTTCCCTTTCTCCATGCATAAAACATGTGGGGACACACTCACCCGTGTGTGTGGGTGTCTTCCCATCACGCTTCACCTTAGTTTTTAAAGATAGTTTACTTTGTGTATATGAGTGTTTTGCTTGCTTGTATGAGCAACATACATGCTTGCATGTATGCCTGCATGTGTGCAGAGGTCAGAAGAAAGCATTGAATCTCTAGGAACTGGAGTTACAGATGGTTGTGGCCGCTGGGAACTGAACCTGGCTTCTCTGTAAGAAGTAACTGAGTTAACTCAGCGCTCTTAACCTCTCAGCTGTCTCAGCCCGACCGCCTTGTTTTCTGAGACAGGGTTTTCTCTGGACCTTGAGCTATTGTGACAGACTGGCTGGCCAGGGATACTCCAGGCTCCGCCTATTGCCGCTGCCATTATTGGGGCATGCTGTCTTCCTGGGTTTTTATGGGGTGCTGGGGATTTGAACTCAGATTCTCATATTTTTCACATCTTTTTTATTATTATTATGTATACAACATTCCTTCCATGTATGCTTGCATGCCAGAAGAGGGCACCAGATCTCATTATAGATGACTGTGAGCCACCATGTGGTTGCTGGGAATTGAACTCAAGACCTCTGGAAGAGCAGTCAGTGCTCTTAACCTCTGAGCCATCTCTCCAGGCCCCTTTCACATCTTTTTTTGATGCCTTATCTGGGATTACCTGGTTAGCTAAAACCCAGAGCCACAAGGACTGCAGAGGGTGCAACGTGTGTGTCTTCCCTGTAAATGGGGTTTCTGGTGAGAGTCCTGGAAGATGCAGGCTGATAGCTGGGGAAAGAGAACAGCCTGAATCAGTTACTCGTGTTAGAATTCTTGCTTCAGCCAGAGTCTGGGATGAGGGACTCGCCTCTTTTCTCATGCCCCATGCTTTCCCCTATCTTTCTCTCCTGCCTCACTTTTAACTGTCTGAATATCGAGCCTCACTAGCCTTTCTCCACTCTGACTCATTCTGAAGTGTTTTCTGAGAAGCAGGCAAGGACCTCCCTTCACCTAAATGGAGGTCTTCAGGCAGTGCTGGCCGCTGTGTGCTGTGTCGGGCTGAGTATTCCTGATGCTGACAGTCAACCTGCCCCACATCTATCCCTCACCTCACCCCACATCTGTGAGAGGGGCGTGGTGCCAGCCTCTGCTAATAGACTCCTGTGGCTGTGCGTCCGGCAGGGTGAGCCCTGCCGCCACCGGTCCAGGCTCCTCCCTGGCTCCAGCTTCAGCCACTGGCTCTTTTCTTCTTTACACTCCCCTGAGGGCTCCTGCCTCGAGGCAGCTGCACGGGCTCACTCTGCTGCCTCTCAGTATTGTTTCCTTCATGGCCTTCCCGCCACCAGGTGCGCTTCTCTGTTAGCTGTGGGCTTGGCTCTGGCTTGTGGGTTTTTGTTATTGTTGCTTTTGTGTTTGTATGCTTTTTTTTTTCTAGATAGAGACTTGCTATTTAATTTTTTAGAATTGTATTTAGTGAGATGGGAAGGGAGGGCCTTCATGCCACCACGTGTTTGTGTGTGTGTGTGTGTGTGTGTGTGTAGGTCAAAGGACAGCTGGTGAGAAGCAGTTCTTTCTTTCCACCATGTGTGTGCTAGGGATCAAACCAGGCTTGACAGCAATCCCAACCCCACGACTTGATAATTTGCCTGATGTGAGCTCCCCACACCCAGTCAGATGGCATTTGAAGTGAGTGACCCTTCTCCTTGACATTCCTGTAACGGAAAGTTTTTGGGGACTGGGCTCAAGGGAGATACTGAGGCTAATCAATGAGCCATTGGCGTAGGGGATTTATTTGGATATTAATGGCTTGGAAAGAGCATGGTGGGGCTCCGAGGAGAGTGCTCAGGCCCTTGAGGCAGAGTGGACGTCCCTTCTTAGTGGTTTCAGAGGAAGGAAGGTTTTCTACCTGGCAGCTGAGTAGGCACAGCACCAGCCTGCACTCCAGGGAAGGAATGTTTGACACCAAAGCTGTAAGAACAGTTGGAAGGGATGGCAAGGCTAATTGGGCCGAGCTCATTACGCTCAGAGCACTCTCATGTTCTGGAGTCTGGCAGTCTGCGGGCTGTAAACTTCCTTCAGGGAATAATTAGTGTGCCTGCCGTTCTCTTGGAAACAGGGCACCTGAGTCTGTCAGAGGTCCGCAGATACACTGGCTCGCCATTCCTCCAGGGTAGCTGGAGGAGGCTGCTGCAGGTGACATCCTCTGGTGAGCTCGTCTGACAGCTACTCACTGGCGAGAGTGGAGGTGGTCTCCAGCGGTGGCCTCACCCTTCCTAACGCTGCGACTCTTTAATACCCCCATACGTAAAAGTATTTTTGTTGTTAATAAATAACTGTAATTTTGTAATGTAAATACCTGTGTCTTTCGATGACCTTAGGCGACCCCAGAAAAAGAATCATTTAATTCCATAGGGGTCGCGACTCCCAGGTTGAGAAGCACTGTTGACACTTATATGCCCCTGCTGTTGGCTCTCAACACTTCCTAGTGCATTGGAATGTTTCCAAGAATCTCCTCTCAGGGAGAGACTGAATGTAGAGGGGAGTTTGTTTTCTGGAAGGAGATTTCACAGATTCCCAACCTCTGTGCTGGACAAATTGTAGGCAGGATGATGCTGGGGCTCTTGTTGGGTCCCTTTGTTCCCCTTCCCTGTGCGGTCACTAAAACTTTTCCTCTCTCCTGCTTCTTTGATAGACCTGTTGAGGACTGATGGCCGAACTTCTTGGGCTGCTGAGGCCCAGGCTCGGGTCCTAACAGCCTCAGTACCAGTCTCATATTCATGTAGAGAAAGTAGCTTCAGAAAATGATTGACAGGAACCAAAGAGCAGCCGGGCTGAAGCGATACACATGGACCCAGGAAGGAAGACCTGGATCAAGATCCCACAACTCTGACTGAGTGGTGGGGCACCTGTTTCCTACAGCTGAAAGGTCTTGAATAGTGGGGTTCAGAGAGGACAATGAGATGGATTGTGGGGGTAAGGAGCTTATTAGAAGAGTTATTAATGCCATGGACAGATAGCAGCATGGCTGTCTGCAGACAGAGTCTGGGTCCCTGAAGGATGGGGGTTCACAGCCTGAAGTCAGGTTCTCTCATTTTGCAGCAAGTAACAGGGAAGCGGGAGAGGACAGGGATGCGTGACCACAGTAGCCACTAGTGAGAGATCTGGGCACTTGGAAGTCTGTTTGCTAGAGATTGACAGGCAGTGCCCTCAGTGGGGTGCCCATCAGTATCGGGCGGGGGTGGGGGTGGAGGTGGGGAGAGGGTCTGTTGCAAGTGTGACGTCTGAGTTCAGTTTGGGTTGTAACAGACCCCCAGCCAGGTTCCAGACAGAGCCTGGCAAAGGGAGGGAGGGCCTGGCTCAGAGCCTTGCCTTCTGCAGTGGTCAGCAAGATGGGGTGAGGGAGGGGTGCTCCCCCTTTAGGAACATCAAGTGGCTTTAGGCCTGGCTGGGAGCACAAAGGGGAAGTCTCAGCCACTAGGATGGTGGGAAGGTGCCTTTAAGATGCAAATGAGTATCGTGGAGCCGCGGGAGGCCTTGTTATTCGACTGGGACCCCCTTTGTCTCTACTCCCCAGTTTGGGCAATGATGAGGAGGGGGCTTGCTGGTCAATGGGGAGAGCCTAGGGGGCCCTCCAGATCGAGAGATCAGCAGAGGGGCTGCAGTGGGATTCCAGATGAGGGCAGACCCCAGTTGCAGACAGTGTTGGCTATGCTGGAACCTAGCAGAGGCTTTGATGTTCTGAGAAAACATATCCTAAAGAGGCCCCCGTAGAAAGGACCATGAGCCAGCTGGCCAGGGCTTCACCATGGAGACCCTTCCAGCCTAGGTGTAGAGTTCTGACTCTGGGTGCTGGGCCTGAGAAGCTGTACCAGAGTCACTGCTCTCTCCCGCCTCCCCCCTCCAGAGCTGTGCAGGGCCATGCAGAGACTGGAGGATGGGTATGGAGGTAACTCCCCCCTCCCTCCCGCTGTGCTCCATATCTTGGACAGCATCGCCCTAGCGGCCTAGACCAGTTCTAGATTCCTTCTTATCCCCTTCCGCTCTTCTTTGTGTGCCTTGAGCCCCATTTCAGCTTCTGGTGCTGTAGTACGCACACACCTGAGTTTGGAGGGCATCTGCTTAAATGTCCAGGGGTATTGTTTGACCTGTGAGCTAGGCTTGCAGAGTAGAGCGGGAGAGACAAATGGTTAGAACAGATAGAGGGGAATAGAATTTGGAATCAAATTTTGTGGGTGACAGCAGCCAGCATAAACAAATGTTCTGGACATAACTTGTCATCATATCAGTTGGTTCCAGAGGCCGAGTCCCTCAGAAGGGAGCTCATTTATGAGCTCCTCCTGGGTTATGCTGCTCCTGGGTTTCGGCACCAGATAAATAAATAAGAGGAGGACACCACTACTCCTAAAGTCTGGAGAAGATTTTTATTGTAGAGCTAAGGGAGAAAGCAGGCAGAGGGGAGAGTCCAGGCTGACCTTGAGGGGGAGGGACAAGAGAGGCAGCCTGGGCTAAGAAGACCAAAAGGCCTCTTTAGTCAAAATGACAGGGGTGGGGGGCAGAGTGGGAGGATCAAGAGAGGCAGCCTGGGCTAAGAGACCAAGAGGCCTCTTTATCCTAAATGACAGGGGGTGGGGGGTGGAGGAGAGCGCAGAAGCCCAGTCCTTGGGGTAAGAAGAGCTGGAGTTACAAGCACTGTCTGATGCTGGGGTAGCTGGCCAGTGTCCGCTTTGATATGTTAATGGACACCTCAGCCAATTGTCCAGTGTTTGAGACCTAACAAGGGACACATGGATAGTGATAGAAATAGAGGCAGTTTATTAAGAAAGAAAAGGGCACTCTTGAGGGTGGCAGCAATGCCAGTGTACTGGGAAAAGCCACCTGGCACCAGACTTCTCATCTTTTATGTTATTAGCATAGCAGCTGCCTTCTGCACTAGAATAGTGTGGGCTTTCCTTTAGCATGGCTAGGCAGGCTTCCTGGCTTTCTTTGCTAACTGGCTTACATATGTCAGTCTTGATGCCTCTTACTCCTGCTGTGCCGCCACCCTCCCCCTCCAGTTTGCCACCCTCCTCAGGCTCTTGGGAAGACCAGCTTAGGGAGCAGCTTTGCTGAACCCCGACATAATTTCATTTCCTGTTTTCCATTCTTACTAGAAGTTCCTGCTTCTTGTCTCTTGCTGTCCATGCTGAGCACCTTGTGTGCCTGCTACCTACCCTGGGCCCTGCCACCTGTCCCATGACCCTTAGTTTGGAATTGCTGTTTCCTGTATTCTGACTCAAAAAGGGTTGTTCAGGGGTGTGTTAATAAAGACCCATTCCTAGACCTCATCCTAGATGTCCCATGCTCAGCGCCAGAACTGGAGGCCCTTCAGCCTTCCCACTAAAGCCTTGGACATCCAGTTGCTTTGGGGAAAAGGGTCCATCTTCACCAGGTCCAAGTTTACAGTCTTGGTGGGGGGCTGTTAGCCCTGCTTGAACTCTCCCAGTGGCTCTGATCACACTTTGGTTTTGTCCCTAAGGAGCTGGGATGGATGAGAGGCCACTGTGGAAGGGCCGAGGTAAGACCCGTCATCAAGGCTCCCCACCTTGCTGGACCACTGATCTCACTTGACTGGGGGAAGGAGGCAAAAACTTCAACCTAGGACAGCAGAGCAGGCCCTGGCAGGGGCTCCTGAGAGCAGTATCAAGTAGCTGGGAGAGAGCACAAACACTCGAGAGACTGGCTAGTGACAGACAGCGACTCTACTGTTGGGCTCATTTAAGCAGTGCTCTCGCTTTTTGGGATCCTGGCATTAGCTAGAGGAAGACTCGATAACTTACTACTACTACATAGCCCCGGCACATAGTAGGCCCTCAATAAATATTTGTTGAATGAATGAGATGCGACTCAAAGCCAAGAACAGATTTTGGGTGTTTCTGAATCTTTCATGCCACCATTTCCACGGGGGAACCAGGATCAAGAGCTTCATGGGGTCTAGGGCCCCTGACAGGGCAGTGGTGGGACCTCACCTCAGAACCTAGCATAAAGGTAATTGTGGCTCTTGTGAGGGACACAGAACTTCCTTTTAATACAGAGAGCTCCTTGCCCCATTAGAGCTCAGGAATCCTGAGCTCCCCAACTTAGGAGCCGATCAGCAGCTGCGGAGGCCACACCACTGCTTCTTCACTGCCATCAAACGACGTGGGCGGTGTTACAGATGTGGCGTCAGTGGCATCTGACTGCAGGTGAGTTGGCGACACCACGGTTCTGCCGAGATCCCAGTGCTCTGGGATCCTGGCCCCTGCCGACCTCCTGGGCGTTACCTTCTGCCCCCATGCCCCTCCTCTGCTGTTCCTCAACAGGCCGCTCTGGTTCCTTTTCACTTAAGCTTTTCCTGCCTAAATTATCTTTTGTCTGCAATATTCATCCCTCTGTCACAGAGACTTGGTCTTTACAATGCCAAGTGATAGAAATCTAGAACGGACACTCTATCTTGGACTATATTTATGAAAGATTAAAAAGCAAAGCAAACCTCATCAAGCCCATCCCTCCTGGCACTGCTGGGATGCCTCAGAAGAGGATCTGACCTCTGTTCTCCTAGGACAAGAGTGTCTATGAGAGATGGCCTTTAGGAGGTGACCTTGTCCCAGCCTCCATCTTTATTGAAGAAACTGAGGTTCAGCAAAGAGGTGGGGACCAGGATGCGTATCTGGCATATCGTCCAAGCAGATTTCCTAGGTCCTGCCCTCACCCTTGCAACTGTCCAGCTAGCAGGGGGTCACATAGAGGCACCTGGCAGGCCACCTCATAGAGGACGAGAAGCCGCGGGGTTGGACACGGTACAGAAGGGTACCTCAGCCTCCTGGGTCTCTGGCTCAAAGACAACCCTTAGGTATCCCAAGCGGACTCTGCATATGTGCCCCTGGCAACAGTCCCAGAAACTGTCTAGCCTCAGGAGACAGAGCGTGTGTGCGCTGTTTGCTGGTTAAGCCCTGTGCTCTGCCTGCACTATGAAAGGTCCATAGGCTACTGTAACCCCCCAGCCAGCTCATCATTATTGACATCACAGAAGAAACAAATGAATTTTTCTGATAATTCTAGACTCTGGGTCTTCTCTGTTTAAAGTCAACAACTAATGTAAACATGCCCAATACAACCCGGCAAGTATCTGAGACACTGTTCGTCATGAGAAGCAGAAAGGCCATTTCTGCCCCTTATCAGTGAGTACTGCATAAGGAAAAGAGCATATTTGGTAGAAAATGTTCATTTTGCAAAAATTTTGAATACTTCTCTATCTCTCCCCCCCCACACACGCAAAAGTTTCAGGCCTTGACCTGGACAAAGAAAATTTCAGTTCTGTGACCCATACTTTCCACCCTGTGGAAATAAAGACTGTGTTGTGCATTGTCTTTACTTAAAGGGGACTGAGCAGGCTCAGTGGTGAGTACTTTCTTAGTACTCGAGGGCCTAGGTTCTATCCTGCTACCAAAAAAAGAACAAGTTTACCAAAATCAATAGACTGTTTTTCTCCCTTAGAAGTTTTCAGAGGAGATTTAGGCGAATTTTACTTTAAAGTTCAGGAAAGGGTATGTAGTCCTCATGTAAAAGCAGCCGCGCTGGGCAGGCTGTGGGGTGACCCACTGAGCACAGCATGACACAGCCCTCCTCTTTCTGGAAAGTGTTCAGAGTTGCCTTAACTATTCATCTGGAAGCAAGGGCCAGCGTTCTTGTCTGGGGTAAATGGTACAGTGAGTAGAGTCCCTAAACTTTTAGGCAGTACAAGAACATGCTTCTCACTGTTGCGCGCATGCACACACACACATCAGTCCTGCCTCCCCACTCCTAGTCCCTAATGAAAAGGTGGTTTTGGTTTTGTTGCTGTTTAGTGACATCATTCCCATGCTATCGCTAAAGTAGAGGGTCAGCACAGCAGAGAAAGCCAGTGACTGGGGTTTTTCATTCCTGGGTGGCCTGGGTCAGGACCAGTACCATGGACAAAGGCCTGGGGCACTTTTATAGGCCTCAATGATAAAACCTCAAGAATCAGACTTTTGAGAGCCGGACACGATTTTATAGGCATTGCACCGAAGAATAGGAAGGGCAGAAGCAGGAGGATCTCTATGTTTGAGGCCAGCCTGGTCTACATAGTGAGCTCCAGCCAGGCTGGAGCCTGGGCCAGCCAGGGCTATGTAAAGAGACCCTGTCTCAAAAGACAGCTCCTGCCCTGGAAAAAAAAAAAAGATGGGGGAAAAGAATCAGCCTCCTGGAAGTATCTTGGTCCACAGATGCATTGATCTGAGGAGTTCTTGTCCTTGCCCCATCCAACTGGGTCTATTGTTGCCTCCCCCCCTTTTTTTTTTTTTAAAAAAAAAACCGCTTCCATGGGTCCTACCCCTGTGGGGATGAAATCCAGTGTCTCTGGAGCGAGGTGTCAGGGTCCTGCCTTTCTAGAACACCCATTTCTACCTGGGGGCCTTTCCGTGGTTTCCGCTTTGCACCAATGTCCCCAAATACTTCCCCATGCCCTGCCCCTCCACAGAAAGGCCCTCTCCAAACCCCCCATCTGAAGTAGGGTTGCCTGGCCCCATTCCTGTGCCTTTTGCATGTCTTCCTTCAGGGCACTTTGAGTCCTGTGCCTTCCTGTGCTAGCTGGTCTCCTCTGGCCCTATCAGCCAGTCTGTGTAACTGGGACTCATGCTTACAAATGGTCATTTGCTTAAGTGAGCTAGGAAAGGCCTGGGTCCTGATGCTGGGTGCCCTAGGTGCTGCCAGAGGTGTGGCAGGCAACCCACAAGGTCGCTGCCCAGCCCAGGCTAGCAGGGAGGAAGAAAGGGCTTGTCTCTGAGGTTGTCCTGGCCTGCAGAGGCCCAGATCTTAGGAAGAGGCAGCCGCCCTCCCCAGCTTTCAGGCTCTGCTGCGGGAGGCCACAGCAGCACCCAGTGCGTCTGCCTTGCAGTTCAGCGGTTGACCGTTGGGTAAACGTTGGGAGCGCCCCACCCCTTCTCCGCCCCGTCTCCATGGATACCCACACTTCCCCCACACACCAGTCAAGGAGGCGTGCCCCCAGTGCGGACCCTGTGCAGCCACCGTTCACAACGCCACAGTCTCCTCACCGACCTTCTCCAGGGAAGCGCGTGGGGGTGTTGGAATGCTTGTTGCCGGGCCAGCCCTGCTCTAGTGTTCTTTGCAGCCCTGTTCTCCGTTTGATCTGGTGAGTGGTTTCCTAGGAGAAGCCAGAGAGGGCTCAGAGGTTTCCCCTGGGCTATGTTCCAGGTAACCCAAGGCCGTTGTCTTGGGACTTCCCTCCCACACGTTAGGTTACTGTACCTCCTCTTTACTCTTTGTCTAGAAAAGTGAGGCTAACCCACCTGCAAGTAGACCATGACGGCAGAGCTGGCTTCTCCAGTTACCATAGGATGGAGCCCATTCCTGTGTCTCCCAGGCCTTTGCAGTCAGCACCTCTGGCCCATTATCTCAGATCCAGACCACTGATCGCTGTGGGGTTAGGGACACTAGGACCAGTGGTTCCCATACTTGCCTGGGACACATAAGCAGCCACATCATGTATACCCCTAAGGTCTTCTTGTCCATGTGCTCACAACCCCAGTCTGGAGTTTATTTCTGATCAGTTTTGTCCCAGAAAAAATCACACAAACCAAACCAAAACAAAAACCCTATAAAACATCAAGACAACAAAACAAAACAAAAAATCCACAAAAACAAAAAAAATGCAAAGCAAAATACAGAGCACTCACTGGTCAAATCCCTCTCAGGACTGCTGAGCCTCCAGGGCCAGGGAGAAACGGCAGAGAATGAAGCACTCTGTGAAGGCGGGGCTGGAGGGGACAGAGGCCGACCGCGGTGGAGCCCAGTGTAGACGCCAGGCTACATGACCTGCTTGAGTACGGGTGTGTATTTAACCTTATTTTCCCCTAAGTCTTACTGGGGTAGCGATTGCGGGGAATGCCAGAAGAGGGTGCCAGATTGCCTGGAGCTGGAGTTGGGAACAGCCCTGTGGATGCTGGCAATGAAACCCTGAGCCTCTGAAGGAGCAGGCTCTTTTCTTTCCACTGCTCTGCGCCCAGCCTAGCACCCAGGAGTCTAAGGCCCTCTTTCAAAACAAAACCCTGAGAGTAAAGCAAAACTGAAAGACAGTTTTGTGGTTGCAAATGGGACCACAGGCTGTAGCCCCTACTCCTGGCAGAAGCATGCAGCTAAGGCAGGCTTGCTGTTCCTGGGTCAGAGGGTGTCTAGACAGGATGAACAGGGGAACAGGGAGGACCCAGGGGCCTGTAAAATACCTAAGCCAGGGTCAGTGGAACAAACGGCTTCCAGCTTCTCCCATTCTGAGCGGATGAAGTTGGTTACTTTTCTCAGGGTCTCATCTGTCTTTCCCAGTTCGATATTTTGTTTATGCCAAAAGGGACTCAGTAACTCTCCAGACAGCTGTCTTCTCTGGTTATATTTCTTGGGGGTTTACCAGGATTTCGGAAGAACTGACTTGACTGAAAATCTCGGAGGACTGAGTTGGCTGTGACCCATCTGGTACTCCAAGGGTCCCTTCTGAGCTGGGGAACACACTGACCACAGCTAGCAGAGTGAACTTCCACTCTGTCAGGAGTAGGAGACTAGCGGCCCGGGCTCTGATGGGGTGGGGTGATCTGACCTCTTTATGGCTGGAAGGAGACTGACTGATTCCTTGAGAACCAGAGTGGGTGCTTAGGCTGCCGTTCCTAAGCCAAAAGGCTGGGCAAACTGGACCTTAAGAAATGGACAGCAAGGAACGGAGTTTTCCCAAGGAGGAAGTGGCAGAGAGGGCAGAGCCCCACTCAGTACACCTGAGGAAGGAAGGATCTCGGGGAAGCTCAGTCCTCTGCCAGATAGCTGGGTGCCCGGTGCCTGCCTGTGAGCACTCCGGTGGGCTGTGAATAGGTGTGTGCAGGACCTGGGGTAGGCTGGCCATGGGACAACTGCTCAGATGCTTCCTATGTAGATACCGACGGTCACCATGGCATGGCCAGGCCAGGAGAGGTTGTGCTGAAGTGGAATAGATGCCACTTAACCATGGGAAGCCATGGCCACTGTCACAGGGATTTCTGGAGGTAGTGGCCACGAGTGCTTGCATCTCTGGTATCGGATATTCCCCACCCCACTAGAGGTGGCTTTAGGCCACTGAGGAGTCTCCCTCTCGGTGAGGTCATTGTCACAGGGGCCACTGGATTCACCCTCTGAGGTCACTGTGTGACAGGTACTACTTGTTGGCACCTTGAATACTTGTCCTGATGGTTGTGTAGTGAGATCCAAAGGGAAAGGTGGGTATGAACAGCCACTGTTTGTTGGAGAGGGCAGGGGCCACTTGTTTGTCCTGGCTGCCCAGAACCGAAATAATCACACAGAAACTATATTATTTAAAGACACTGCTTGGCCCATTAGCTCTAGTAATCTGTGTATTGCCATGTGGCTATGGCTAAAGTTCCGGCATCCATCTCTGGTGGCTACATGGCTTCTCTGACTCTGCCCTTCTTTCTCCCAGAATTCAGCTTAGTTTTCCCTGCCTACCTAGTTCTCCCTATCAACAGGCCAAGGCAGTTTCTTTATTCATTAACCAAGAGAGAAGGACCTCCCACACCAACTGCTGAACACTGGGCAGATTAGGTAGCAAATGGCAGGCCCTGCATGTGTCTGAAATCTTGCTGGCCAAGTCTGAAAGGACCCGTGAGCTGCATGGAACCTATTTCAGTTGGATGACATTAGTCTCAAAGACAGGTCACATGTAATCTTGTGATCTGAGGACTAGATGGGAATATGGTATCGGAGGCAAACCTGTGGGCTGGTAGCTGTGGCTGGTAATGGGCTAGTGGGCTTCAGAGGGAAGTGTGACTCAGGGCTGTTCATGTGAGCCATGGTTTCTGGTCAGTTGGGGCAAAGCATTGGCTGTGATTAATAAGAGAACAGTGTCATGGCGGTTAATCTTCTGGGAAATAGTTCTTCCGGGTCAGCACATGGGCTGTGGTAAGAGAGACCAAGGCTGTATCCCATGCTGGCAGCCAAACTTTAGTGGCAAGAGAGCTGCGGGAAATGCCCATACTGGGCTGACCCCACAGACAGCGGGAGGGTGGAGTGGAGCTGGCCTGGGCCTTGAGGCCAACTGTGTCGCAGAAGGCAGAGCTGGATAACGCTTCTTGGGCCCTCTGGAGCCCAGATTATGAGTGGATTTAAACACTGGACATTGAGCTCAGATTGCAGTTGTGCCCTGGGTCTTCCCTCCTGGAATTAGGAGGGTATGCATGTGTTCTATTTGTTTCTGTAGGATTTCTGCAGATGACTCTACACTGTCGATGGATGAGTCCCAGGATAAGCCAGGATCAGTCCTGGCTCCTGGGCTTCCCGTAGTGTGTCAACAGGCTAAGGAGCTGGAGCCTGCCTACTTCCTCTCTGTATCTGGCTGTGCCTCCAGCTCTGTGACTGATCACAAGATCATGTAAGGCTGGGGTGGAACAGCACCCATCACACAGGCAAATGGGCCTTCCGGTTCCTTTCCGGTTCTATGGTCTGTTAAAGGAGGACACGACAAATAGTAGGGGATTGAGCCATGGATAAAGTGTGGAAATCCTAGTTTAATCTGGTCTCTCCCTGGGACAGACTAGACCTCACTAGCTGCTCACAAACTGGCCATGCTCATCCTGGTGGGAAAGGAATCATGGAAGTGAGAAGGCAACTCTGGCCCAAGACTTCTCCTCCTCCTCCATCTCCTTGCAGATAGATCTATCTAGGGTTCCAAGAAAGGTCCATTCAGCTGTTCCTCAAACACCCAGCACAGTTAGATCCTCAGAACTCAAACAACCCTCTTTTGTTGTTGGCCCCAATCTCCCCGGAATGTTTCCCTTGCAGTATTCAGAGCCACATATCGACAGAACCTCCTCAGCAGAGTCTAGGCAGCAGAGTACTACAGACTTCCAGTCACTTGGTCCCTCCAAATCTAGCCAGAGCTTCGGGTTAGGCATTGGTAAAGCAGAAACTTCTGTCAGTTTGGTCCTCTTGACCACAGATGCTCATGAACCGGAACAGTTTAAAGTCTCAGAATGTGTGCCCCAGTAGGTAAGACTCATCTGCACAAAAGGACAGGTACTTTGGGTCTAGTCAGATACCCCGTACTCAACAGTGTGTTTTCTATAAACCACTAGGTTCAGGCTTAGAGAGGAACAAATGCTTTTTGTGTATCCATGAAGTTATCACATGCTGTTTGAGCTCACGGACGAGCTGGCTCTGGAGGTGGGATTTGGTCCTCCCACTTGAGACCCAACCATGTTTTGTTTAAAAATGTCTTCCAAAGCCCCTACGTTTTCCTAAGTCAGTGTGGCCCTGACTCTGTGACAGGAAGAAAGGACAGCAAAATAACCAGAGTAAAGGCCTGTGACCATTATTCATCTCACACATAACAGAGCTGTCTCTACTATGTAATGTTCATTCAGAACCAAAAGCAGTTTAGGCATACCATCCTGTGCACTGTATGAAGATGGTCCTGTGTGCTCTATAAGGTTTACCTGGGAACTCACCAACCCATAGTTTAATAGCACGTACACAGGTAATGATAATTTATTACGTATGTGGTTTGGTTCAACTTTCTTTTACTAAGGTGGTGTTGATGTTATGTTCCTGTTCCGCAGGATAGCTAGATGTGTTTCCAAAATGACAGAGAAAGCTGCAAAGTGACAAGGGCCTGGGCGAGTTACATACAGCATATAGGTCAGAGTTCATTTCGCTGATGTCGAATCTCAACTTAAATTGATGGAATTACTACTGGCCTGGTCTCCATAATAATGACAAGAACTGGCTTAAGAAACAAAAATGTACATCTAATCAAGGTTTTAAGTGTTTGGCTTTTGCCCAAGCTTGATCTAAATATTGCACAGTCATTACAGCGGACAGATACCTTCTGCATGTTCAGTATTAGGAGCTACACTAATGTGCTCAGAGGGATGAAAAGGCAGAATCTTCCCACCTTGACCTTCCAGCAGGCATCTTTTAAATGTTAATTGTGGGAGTCTCCTACTCCTTTGTTCAGGGCCACGGATACCCCATGTGGTGGGCTCTACCCAGTCTCCAGTCTACAAAGAGGAGGGTCAGAATAGAGGAAAAATGTTGCTCCATGTTTTCAAGCAAGGCCCAGGTCAAGCAATTTCTCGCATAGATGGAAAAACTGGTCCGAGGAGCCTGAGGACCAGATCTTCAAAGGCCTTGACAGGGAAACAGACAAAAAACACAATTAATCATGGCCACAATTGTCTTGAACACCCAGCAGGAAAGTACAGCCAAGAAGTAGGATGGTCAGCTTGTCTCTTAACAGTTTAAGGCAGTGGTTCCCAACCTGTGGCTCACACCCATTGGAAAAGACTTATTTCTGATGGTCTTAGGAACTGAGACATCACTCAGTAGCAAAATTATAATTATGAAGTAGTGATGAAAATAAATTTATGGTTGAGGGTTCCTAAGGCCATTGGGAATGTGTTTTCTGGTGGTCGCTACCCACAGGCTGAGAACTGCGGGTCTATGAGAATCGCACCCCCTGCACCTTAGCTTAGATCCGTGTGAGATGCTTACAGGTCTAACTGTAATTTTCTTTTTACTGAGAAAAATGCTGCCACTAATAGGGCACTATGCCCTTGCCTGAAGTCCTCCATTACAGCACCCACCAGCCAAAAGAGGCCCGCCTAAAAAAGGAAACTAGAAAAACCAAACGACAGCTAAATTTCTTCTCTTTCTGCCTCTCTAGAAGCTGCGTGGGGGGGACCTCGAAGTGAGTCTATCCGCTTGGACAGCCCTGAAAGCAGATCCTAGGCTCAGCACTCGGGCCAGCCGTCAATGTGGGACTTTCCTGGGAATGGCTGCCCTACAAGTGCAGGTCTGACAGGAATGCCAGCCCCTCCAGTGACCCCAATCTACACAGTGATGCAACATGGTCCTCTCCAGAACCACCGCACTGAAGGTAGGGCCTGGTGTCAGAGGGAATTACAGGTCTAAGTTATTCCGCCCAGCTATCTTATTTTCTGAAATTTGTCAAGTTTTTGAGTATTTCTCTGTGGCCCTGAATAGTCTTAGCTTCCCAGAGGCTGGGATAAAGTCAAGTCACCATACTGAGCTTCAGCCATGTCTTGTTTCTAATGAGCACATCTTTTACCTTTTTGTTATTTTTAAATACTTTGGTTTTTGGTTCTGAGACGTGTAGCTCAGCTGGTAGTGTTCACCCCAGGTTCGATTCCTAGTATAGCATGGACCAACCATAGAGGCTTTCACCTGTAACCTGGTGGTAAGGAGGTGCGCACAGGCAGGAGGATGAGAAAGAAGTTCAAGGCCATTCCATCCTTAGTTACAGTGAGTCTGAGGTGAGCCTAGGGCAGAGATCCTGTCTCAAAACTGAAAACCTTTGTTTTCTGGTGATTTTATTAATGTAGTATTTTTCTTGGTTTGCTTTTGGGATTGTTCCTTGCCGAATTAATCAGCTCTAACAGTATTCTGCATGAGTGTACTGTCTGTGGAAGACATGCTAACATCTTCCCTTGCAACCTGGATGCCTTTTCTCTGCTTTGTTGATGGTGCCAAAGTATGTAGCCATCTTGTCCTCGATCGGAGGTAGAGCACCTGGCCTCTCAGCATTTAATGCCAGTTCTGCCTCTGTGGCCTCGTGATGCCACACACATTTTCACTCTTCTATCATGGGGCTGTGCTATGTTGTTTTGGGGATAAAGTGGGCTGATACAAACCCTAGGAAGCAGACAAACTCCAGGTGGTGTGGAGCTCAGGCAGTGTAAAGCCTGTGCTTGCCCAGCAGTGTAAACTAAGGTAGTTGTGCCAGAGTGAAGGGAGAATGAGTTCCCTCCACAGCAGGGGCAGGAACAGACTCCCCAGCACCCCTCCAGCCTCAGCATGTCCTGCCTGGCAGAGGCCATACTACTCATAGTTGCTGGTGGTGCTGAGGGTTTCTGTGGCACTGGGTGCAATCCAAGGTCTCACCAGGCAAGCGTGAGCCTCCAAGTCACATCCTTATCCCCAGAATTTGACTGAGGTGTGCCCTTAATCACTACTAGAAACTCAGGAAGTATTCCAGGTTTTTAAAGGGAAGGTAGAAAAGCTGGATATATGTAGGGAAAATTGTATTTGACCTTTTTTTTGGAGACAGATTCTCTATATAGCCCCGGAACTCACTACACAGACCAGGCTGGCCTAGAATTCAGAGTTCACTACCTACCTGCCTCCAGAGAAGAAAAGCATGTACCACCTCCCCCAGCCTTATATTTGAATTTTTTGAGACAGGTTTCACAAAACTATGTAGCCCAGGTTGGCCCTGAACTCCCCTTCCTCCTGTCCTAGCCTCCCTCGTGTGCTGTCAAGTCTGTCTTGGGAAATGGTTTTATCAGTTCAACTCTGGCAAGATTTCTGACAGACACAGGGCTGACACCAAATGCCTAAGCTCAAGCAATCCTCCTGCCTCAACCTTCTGTCTCATTTGCCTACAAATATATCACAATGCCCAGAAAAATGTAATTTTTAACAATGAAGTCTGTGGCAAGGGGCAGGAGAAAGAAGAAAAGCAAGAGAAGCTTGAAGATTCTGGAAAATGGTTAGTAAGACCTCAATGGACACATTAAGAACCACTGCAATGGCAGCCTTTCAGTCAGCATGTGCCCCATGTATGATGGGTACAGGTTCCTGCTGCCAGAAGGGAAGACCTGTGAGAAGTGACAGCTGTCATTGGGCCCCAGAGTCATTCAGTCCATCTGACACTGTGAAACACACACACACACACACACACACACACACACACACACACACACACACACACACA